GCTTTTGTCGAGCTTCACAAACCACTTTTGGACGTTGGCAATCTTCTTCGGCGTGCGCTCCGGGTCGCCCTTCTTGAGGCGGGCGGCGTTCTCCAGCTCCGTCAGGTCGTAGATGATGCTGGCGCAGGGTGCAGGCGCAGGGCAGTCGGGAGCAGGGCAGTCGGGAGGGATCGGCCGGCAGGTGAGGGCGGGAGGTGGGGCTGGTGTGCACCTGCGGGTGCGCTGGTCGGTGGTGAGCTGGGTCTGGTCGTCGAAGACGGTCGTGACCACGTTGAGGTCGTCGCGCAGCTTGGAGAAGTCGAACTCCTTCCGGATGACGGGGATCAGGTTCATGTTGCCGTCCTTTGCAAACTGGTCCTGCAGAGAGATGGCGGACTTGCGGTACTGCTTGAGCGCGGCGATGCCGTCCCGGACCGACTTGGAGGCGAGCAGCTCGTCGTCCAACTCCGCATCCGCCGGCTTGGTCTTCTCAATCCCCTGCTTGGGCGGAAGCAATCCGGCGAACGACGCAGGCGGCGCAGCGGCGAGCCCCGCCGCGCCCGCGCCCAGCGCGCCGGCCTGGCGCAGGAGCGCACGACGCGAGGTGGGCGGCTGCGGCGATAGCCCGGGCAGCTGGATCGCGAGCAGGCTGAGCATTAAGAGCGAGAGCTGTGCGAGCTTGCCTGCGCAGATTCCGAGAAACTTCTCGCTTCGCGAGTCATTCTTTTCGTGGCATTTTTCTCGAGTGCGTCGGTGTGAGCGGGCACACTCCACAGCAGGAGAGCAACGAAGAGCAGGATGCAATTCGGCCAGGGCGGGGGCGGGGCCGTCAGCGTGTGCATGCCCGTCCGGTCCGGCCAAGAGTCCCCGCGGCTGCACCTCGGCAGCGTCCGTGTCGACTTCATGGACACGCATCCAGCATACTGCACGGTAAACAAGTTTGCCTTCTGCTACGCCAAGTGCGAGGTTCTCCAGCGGATGACGTCAAAGATGCTGCGAGGCACTGCCGCCGTCGCCCTAGAGGCGGCGTGCTCAGAAACCGAAACGGGCGCGCAGCTGATACTGGTCGTCTGCAATGGAATCGTCGTCGGCAGCGTCGGTGGAGAGACGGCTGCGACGCTCGCCGGCGCGATTGCCGCGGGCGAGCTCGATCTCGTGGGCGGCAACAGGGCACCCTCGTGGAGCGAGGCCGACTTTGACGTGTTTCTCCTCGGCCACCGCAGAGCGGGCGCCGCGTGCGAGTGGGCGGAGCGGCTGAGCGCGCGCTGCGATGGCTTCGAGGCGCACGTCTGGGCAGAGAAGAGAGACTGCTCTAGCGGAACCTGCGAGTGCTGTTAGTGATATGTTGTGCGTCGCGCATTGGAGCGGCCGTCGCCCCTCGTGCGTCGTGGAGAGACAATACTGACGTATGCCGGGACACGGCCGGGACAGTGGGAGATCCCACATCGAGATCTCCAGATGATCCGGATGTGTTCATGCATGTCTAATTTGTATAAACGATGTGTATACGTGTATACGCCGCGCGCAGTTCCAAAACCCGCCCATATCTTTCCTCCAGCACACCAGGCACGACCCTCGACTGCGTGGCGAGCGCGAAAAATCCGGCGTCCGAACGCCGCGCCGCGCGCGGGCGCATGGCGTCACCGGAGCCGGAGCACTATGTCAAAACTACAGGGGTAGGCAATGAAACGGAGCTTTGCGCCCTTTCCCACCCGCCGGGGGGGCACCCAGGCCGGCCACCTGATCGGTAGTGGTGGACGGGAGGCGCGAACAGCGCCATCTTGGGGTCTACACGCCGACCAGTGCTCCCGTCAGTGACCAGGAAGAGGGGCTGCGTGGCCTTCTCAGCCGCCGGCCGCGCGTCCGTGTGGTCTACAGTTAACGAACCACGAGCCCTGCTTCCGTTTTAACACAAATTGGGTGGCGAACTCGGCGCCCATAGCTCTGGCTCGAGTTTTAGCGATTATGTCGCGAAACGCATTAGCCGCTACATCGAAATTGCCGAGGTAGCCGAAATCACAGCTTCCGCTGTAGCGGCTAATGCGTTCTCCGAGGTCATGATCGTGGGCGGAAAACGAACCGGCACCCCGGCGGGGCACCTTACGGGCTGTGTTAAAACGAGAGCTAAGGTCCCGATTTCACAGTGGGCCGCAGGAAAAGACACGCGATGAACCCGCACCCATCGAGCTAGCTTCGAGGCGCCTTCAAAGCAGGTCGCAATGGCGCCGAAGAAGAAGCCTGCACACGGCCGCAAGGCCAAGGGCGTCATGCAAGGCGCTCATCGTCCTCCAAAGGAGGTCTCTGGTGCAGCCGGCTCGCGCGGTCCGTCTGAGCCCTCGTCACGATCGGAAGCACCACAATACGAGGCTGTCGGCGGCGAGTGGGTGGTGTGCCAAAAGCAGACGCGCAGTCAGCGAGCTGAAGCCGCTCAAAAGGCCTCTCGCGCGTCTACCGTCCAAAAGGCGCGGCTGCCCGCCGCAGCCGCCGCCTCCAAGGCTGGGCAGACCGCCTCCGCTTGGGCCTATTCATTCGACTAGGCTCCGAGTCCGATACT